TTTGCTCTTGCACTAATCATCGCTATTTTCGCGTGTTTGGAAGATTATACGATGAATTTCGCAAGGTCGCGATTGCGATCGAGCGATGAAAGAAACACAATGGTCAAGCACACGCGACGACAGTCATGTAGTGTATGCGTGACTTTCCGCCGGGACTCACCACGAACACAAGCCTGTCACAGTTTGGCACAACCTTCAAAGACCTTCAAGCCGAGTGTTTTATCAGTTTTGACCGTCACGGGTTTAACCAACATCCGTCACTTCTCAGTCTCCATATGAGTAACGTAAACAGTGTTTCAAAAAAACAAAACACTCAAAATATTTTGACAAAAAATCCCGAGATCGCGAGTAAAGACCGCCATTTTGAAACACGTTCTTTATATGTACATGTGTACGAGGAGTCCTGGGGTAGAAAAGCTACCTCACGTTTTTCATTCGCCTCGTCATGCATTCTCGTCCCCAGAGGCCTCGCTCCTTTTATAGTCAGCACCAAGGGTCGCGATTCTTGGTGCTGACCTAAAGGAGCGCGGCCTCTGGGGACGAGGACGCTCGTCATGCAAAGACAAGCTTAAGACATCATGCCCGGAGCAACTTTCAAGTCAAATTTGCTCGAGGAAGTTACAAAGTTCCGTTTGCGTTCTGTCAATTCTCCCGTGTAAAATGAGAGAGGAAATAATAACCCTGTGGTTTATTCTTCACGAACAGATTGCGAAACTTAGTGGCCGGTTGAGCTAAAATTGGGACAGGCGCTTCATAATTCAAAACTCAACTGCACAATCTGTAGTGTAAATTTAAATTTTTGTCCGCAACTCCTTGTTCATATGGCGATTTCACTCATTCTGTCCCCAATTTCTGTCGATCTGTTGATCAACGGTCGACCGTACGGCAATTCGTTTCTTCGTGTTTGACACAGATGTGGTGGTATTTTTTCCACTTGCTCGAGCAAATTGGAATTAAAAATTAAGTTGCAAGCCGCCTCAAGCAAACTGTTTATCAATATTGGAATATTGCATCGCGACATTGCAGGGTTCTTGTTAAAGAACATGCCTTTTGACTGTTGCTGTTGTATTTTTGCCAAACTGGATTGTCGACTGAAAGCTGGCAAATCTATTTATTTATCTAAAAATCTTGCTCTTAGAAAACAGCTGCCTCGTCACATAATAATTCAATCCTCAGCAGGAAAAACTCTTGTGTGGGATGAAGAGTTTTGTCCAAGCTTTCAGACCAGTTATAGAAAAGACGAAAATAAAATACAAACATAATTTTTGTGTTCGTGCGTAATGTAGTTGCTTGAGGCTTAACAAAGAATTTTGAACACAGTTTACATGTGCCACGGTCACGTGATCCAGCCAAGCAAGCACCTGCTTTGTCCAAGCTTGGTTACTCAGGTCTTGTCGCAAACAAAGCCAAGCCGACTTTCAAGTTTCTTAGTGGCCACTTAACTAACGTGCCTGACGCCGATTTGCTCAACTTATCGCCATGGCAACTCAGCCCACCGACATGCAGCAACGTGACTCAGTGAAATTCAGGTATCAATCAGGTGATTTAAAATCAGTCTATTTATTTCGCTTTTTATAACACGTGTAAACATTTCGTCCTAGCGGCACGGTCGTGACCACGGCGATGAAAATCGCGACAAACTCAGCAGCGATATTTTTTCTCGTTGTTGTGTGTCCGCCCGGCGTTTTTAGCGAAATTTGCCAGCGGTTAAACCCGTCTTTATTTCAAAGATGTATCAAAGCAGGGCACAATTACACAGCATATTTCCCGAGTAATACGACACTTCATGAAAATATCATAGCATATCACATAGAGCGAGAAGCGCGACAGTTTGGACAATGTTCAAAATATCTCGATACAATATTGTGCTCTATTTTCGTTCCTAAATGCGTCGAAGATCTCTACAGTCCAGTTTTGCCATGTAGAAGGGTCTGTGAAGACTTTGTCAGGGACTGCGAGTTAAAGGTAGACTCCGAGAGAATTGAGTGGATAAAAGGGCTTTGTCATTTGTTGCCTTATTCCATAGCGAACAAGAGCGACCGAGACGAATGCTTTCAACCGGCAAATTATAAGCCGCGAGTCAACGCTACAAGTAAGTATAAAAAATCATCTATACTTTTTAAACATTTATGTCAATGTTGAGTTTAACAACGGGTTTATTACTGACTCTTATTTTGGGAAGGAAAGTGAAAATTGCTACTGACACTTTATATTACTCTTAACCTGAATTTAAATATTTCGGACACGTGCGTTTGAAACAATATTCTGTATTAATTAAACTATTGGTATTGTATTCGATTTGACATCGGCTGATGATTTTTTGTACAAGCTAAGTGTCGCAGGTTTTAGCGACTAGTTTTCAGTCTAAAACTTTTGTTTTTCATCAAGAAATTTTTACCGCCTTCTTCAGGTTTTTTACCGGTGGCGACATGCAAATGAAAAATTGGCACTCTTGACAACAGGTTATTTTTACGCACAAACGCCGTTTTTGTTATGCAATTAGGGAACAATAAAGCTTTTGTCTCAAGCATATTTGGACATAAGTCGTTTGAAGCAAAGCAATCGCTCGGGAGTGGTTTTTATTTACTGAGTTTCTGCAGATGGGTACCGATTTTTTTTTAACAGCATGCGTGGGTTAATCACGACTTTAACCTGCTTTTGCAGAGAAAATGTACAACTACCGGAGGTCATCACGAGTTCATGCACTCGTTTGGGCAGACACTCATTAACATAAATTAATTTCTTAGAAACTGTATTTTCCATGGGAACCTCTTGGCTTCCTTCAAAATTAAAGCAGATTAACAAATTTCTGAAAACTCTCAAAGCAATTAATTGAACTTATGAGGTTAAAACATGCATGGTATTAAAAAATTCGAGTAATTGCCCTTCGTTATCTTTGTTTGCAGTAACAATTAGGGGACAACCTGGAAAATTGCTTTAATATCTGCTGCGACATTCGGCATCTATTTCTGGGGGAGCCTGTCTGACGAATACTGAGTTGAAATCACCGCTCGAACAAGCATTTAAAAAAATTGAGGTCTTAATTAATATAAATGAGCCTGACTTTATCACACGAGTGGAAATGTTATCACTAGGAAAATAAGGATGAAGTGAAAAATGCAGCACACAACACCGTGGCAAAAGTCAACAATAGCTCTCATAAAAAAAGAGATGTTCACGAAGAAAAATTGAAAAGAAATCTTCTTGATAAAAATTCAACGGTGAAGGAAACAAAGATTGAAAGTCCCTTACGCATGTATTTCTATTCTGAATTTGTCAACGAAATGAGAGACCGGCGATGCCAGTAAAAACATAATAGGTATTGGGCGGGGACAGAAGTAAGAATGATGCTTCATGTAATATGCATGACACTCAACCTTGAACTATTTTCGGGCTCAAGGTTATAACTAAAGTGATCAGGTGTTGAGGATTGATTTAAGTGGCATGTAAACGGTTGTCAATGCACCCGCACCGGTAGCGACAAGTTCTTTTTAACATCAGTATTCTTTGGCAGCCAATTCGGTATTGCTTTTGTTTTTGTTGTTGTTTTGAAAGCAACATGGTTTACGCCCTTCTACTCAGAGAACACGCCAATTAAAAAGTTGCCACCGCAAATTTTACCTTTTGCCATTTGTCCCCTGATCTCGCACAAGTGTTCTTAGCTTACTCTGTCTAACCATCCATTGTAGAAACCTACCCTGACTTTCAGCCATTTGAAAAAGGTCTGGCACAGGTACGGTGTTAACGCCCTTATAACACAGTGGTATAGCTTGTTTTGCTGTGAATTAACTTTGTTTTGCCTTGAATTAGGGGTGTTCTGTCGTGAGTTATTTTCGTTTTGCCGTGAATTAATGGTGTACTGCCGTGAGTTAATTTTGTTTTGACGTCAGATAACATTATCTTGCCGTGAGTTAAGTTTGTAGTGCCGTGACTTTTTGTTTGGCCGTGACAGTTGTGGGCCACCGTACCAAAAAGATTAAGTTCTGAAACTCAATGCCATTTTAATTTTATTGTTCTGACATTTGGGACAAATAATGCTCACAACTCCGGAAATTCCATATCGACTAGTCTCGAGAACAGACTACAAAACAGGCCGACTGAAATGAGGCTGACCTAAAAGGATCTGGAGCAAGCGTGAAAATATCACGAAAGGGGGATTGAGCATTCTCTTCCCCATAGCCCCTTTCGCTTCCCATAGCCGTCGGGGCCTTGGCACGAGAAATGTTTCTCGTGCCAAGGCTACGCCGGTTAAGAGAAGTGAAAAGGGCTATGGGGACGAGAATGGGGATTGAACAGAGATGCTGAATATCGCGAGTCCCACGTGCGAGTGTCAACGCCTCGACAGGTCCAGAGGGAAATTAAAGTTTTACAGTACCGCATATCCTAGGAATTAACATAACTTCTCTTGACCATACTTGACTTTTTGTTTTTCCTACAGCCCCTCTCGTTCAGAGCTGCACCAAACTTATAATGTCTTCCTGTTCCTATCTCGGCTACTCGCATACCACGCAAACTAAACACTTACAACTGATACTCGATAATGTGCTCAAGGGAAAACTCCACAAATTTGGAAATCACTCCGTGTGTTCACCGATGCTCAAGAAAATTTTCTGCGCAGAGTTTGCTCCACCATGTTTTCCACAAGACAAGACAGAAACTGTTCTAAGAACAGTGTGCAAGTCAGACTGCGAGAATGTGCAGACAGAGTGTCCGGATTTATACCGGCAACATTTTGGAGAATACAGTTACTGTGAGCAAATGGCAACAGAACTGAGCGACTTGGATGGATTTTGCAAACTGACGAAATGGCCGACTGCCGTACGATGGCCTTCACGACCAAATCCTACAAGTAAGTTACGGTGATATGTCACTAAAGCTGGAACCATCAAAGTTCCCCTCGTCATGGTGACGTGATTTTAAAAATAGTAGTGAAAAAAAGTACGATCACAGATCGACAAAACATCATTGTCCCCGAAACTAGCTTGCTCCCAGTGTAAATTGATTTTATTTAAATTTTTAATGTAACATTTTAATTTTTACTGTAGATTGTTGTGGTTGAAAAGCCCTGTAAAGGGAGCTTCAATAAAAATTTGTGTATATATGTACACGCTGCAAAGAGTTTCGCTCCTTCGACAAAGTCCCTCCTCGCTGGTTTTAAACTTTAAAAATCTCTAATTAACGAAGTCATTATAATGAGTTGAGTTTGGAAGCCCAAGATACCGGGCGCAAAAACCACAACGCTGGCCTAAGCCGGGCGGACGCTTTCAACAACCTCTGAAAAAACAGAATTTAACCTGTCATGGCTGTGTTTTCTTTATTTTTGACGTTCAGCAGGTGCATACAATTTTAACTTTTGTTTCTTTGTTTCAGTAAAGCCCAGTCTCCGCAGTTCATCAATACCAGCCGCTACGTCTTCCACACCGTCGGCTGGTTCATTCGTTCCCAGACCTGTCACGCTGAGGGCCAAGATTTCCCTGCCAGTAGTCGCTATCGTTGTGTCTTCTGTTGTTATTGCGCTGTCAGTAATCGCTGTTGTAAGTGTGCTCTTGCTGCGAAAACGACGACCATTCACTGAGGGGTGGACGGTAAGGGGATATCGGCGTCATCCCTTGAACGAATGGGAAACTTCAGTGTCGATAAAAACGTGAGCCCACGCGCTCCTTTTAGCATTGCGGTTTCGTCCTTGGTATCACGCTTGAACAGATCATCCGCGATCCACGAACTGTTCACGTTAACAACTCAAGGTACAATCAAACACAGAACGTGATATTTCTGAGCAAACGGCAGGTGATTTTGACCAGAAGGTCATGTTCTTTGTTTCATTTGCTCTTTGGAAAAATTTAAATCTTTCGGACAGCCAAGTTGTGCCAACGGAGATAATGAAAACAACAACATGCTAAGAATGAACAATAACGAGCACTGCATTGGATGAAAATGCATAAGCGCTGCACATTGAAGCAAATTAACTGAGCACTATAAATATTGAAGAAGAAAATGAAGCAACAATATTGCTAACACCAATTATTTTTAAATGGCAATGGAACTACTACGATTCTCAGTTGAGTAAGGTGCGACGAAAGTTTGGCCATGGTGACCAGTTTTTAACGATCAACTTGTGTGGTTGTCACGGATAACTGACTCCGTTTCCAGTGGCAACTTGTCGGCCTTTGACGTCATTAGCAACAAAGCGCGAAATGCAGGCAACGATACTGTTACCATTGGAAACGCGGAGCGTGGTCCGTGGCAACACCCTAATTTTAAGTCCAAAACTTCGTCACCAAAGCTCCGTCGCGCCTTACCCAAGTGATAATCGTAGTATTGAATTAGTAGCCAATGAACAGATCAGATATTAAAGAAAAAAATTAAGTGAGAATTTAAGTGCGAGCAACAAGTAAGCAGAGACAAAATGAAGTTCCAAACGCTCTGGAGTGATGAGCTGGTCTCATTGTTGACTTCTTACACCTTTATTTTTTTCAATCAGGTTTTGCGTTTTTGGTAAAGTTTGATGTCAAAGGGAGTCTTCCAGGGAGAAAATCAAGAACTTTTATTTTGAAGCAATAAATTTTCTAACCAGTTCAAACTTGTCATGAAAGAGATTTTTACTTTTTTACTGCTTTGTCTATTTTGTTGTAGTTCAAGAGACAAAATCGCGGCGATTTCGTGGCATTTCTGGTCAAACGGTACTTAATTTAACACAGCTTATCGCTGGGTACCCTCGCTGAGTACCCTCGCTCGTGGGAGGTACTAGGTGCGGTGGCCTCACGGTTAGTGCGCTCGTCTCCGGATCGAGCATTCCGGGTTCGAGCCTT